TGTGTTTTTCATTATTTTCAATTGAACATATTTTACTAATGTAGTAAAAATTGCATTGGCAAAACCTAGCCAATCTTTTTTTAACAACACAACAAACACAACGCCAACTTGTCCAAAAACGCAGGACAACAACAACATAAACATTATTAACGATTAAAAACACCATACAACAATGACAACAAAAACAATGATACCATAAGCTGAACAAACCACCACCAACAACAATGACAACAACACGATCTAAAACAATATGATCAACAAACCGCCGAACAAATCATCAACAACATCAAAAACAGGAACATTAACATCAGCGGCTAAAACAACAACATAAACAACATAATAACAACAACAACAACATACAAAACAACAACATCATCCTAAAAAACAACAGTAAAATAAAGCAACATTAACAACAACAGCAAACATAATAAAATTAAAAATATAAATCCCAACAACAGCAACAACAACAATATAAACCATAACAGCAGCAGCAGCAACTACAACAACCTCAGCATAAGGAAAGCAAATTTAGCGGTCGACGGATGTATTAAATTGCAATTTGCAGTCACTCACAAGGCACATGAGACTAACACAAAGATTACAATGTTGTTGTTGTTGTTGTTGTTGTTGCTGGTGCCATTGATATTGCTGTTGTTGCTGTTGTTGTCATTGTTATTGTTGTTGTTGCTATTGTTGTTGATGTTGTTGTTGTTGTTATGTTGTTGTTGTTGATGTTGTTATGTTGTAATTGGAGTTAATGTCAATTTGTGCTGTGCTGTTGTGTCGTTGTTATGCTGTTTTTGTTTTTAATATGTTGTAGTAGTAGTAGTAGTAGTAGTAGTAGTAGTAGTAGTGTAGTAGTAGTAGTAGTAGTGGTAGTAGTAGTAGTAGTAGTAGTAGTAGTTGTTGTTGTTGTTATGGTATATCTTTTGATGAATTAGGTTATATATCCTTTGTCGTCGTTAGTGAAAAAAAAGAAACTGTAATTTTATTGTTTCTGGCTGGTTTTTCTGTAAGCAAGATGGAATTTTTGTTATTGATTCTCTTCTAGGATGAAATTTTTAAAAAAATTTATTCTGTTGCCGAACCACGGCTTGAAATGGCATTGTCATTTTTGTAATTTAAATGAAATAAATTTCAAATAAAGGAATGCTCACATCCAGTGAAAGGTCAGAGGAGTGTGTTGTTGTGTACTAGATCATAAAAAAAGAAATTTTTTATTTATGTTTATGAAAAAACATTTATTTTAAAATGTTGAAAATAAATAACAGGATATAAATGGTTAAACATGAAAAAAGCTTTAGAAGTTATAAATGAGCAAATAAAATAATTAATTAGTGGCAAAATAAGTAGTATATTGTAACTTGTTTGGTTTGTTAGAAAAAAGTTATTGATAAATATTAAAGATTATGAGTGAAAGATTTTAAAATTTCACGTCCTAATTAGTATTTTCAAAATTAAAAACTAAAACTGGCAAAAAAAGTTCTCAACTTTGGAAATCACCGCCCACAACGAAATCTGAAGCCATCCTCTACTTCTTACGAAAGTACAATTCTACAAAAAGAAAACTCATGAACGGTGAGATGAAATCTGCAAACATTCTTGCATAATTCATTACTAATCTATGATGATATTTATGTTTGAATTTCATTTAACACATTGGTAACCAAAAATAAGACAGATTTTTCAAGTTTTTGAAAATTTTACCTGAACAAAAAACTGATTCAAAAACAGCTAAAGTAAGTAATAAAAGACCAAAATTACCTGCTTACTAGTCACTGAACGTCCAGAAAAGTTTCGAGAAGGCTAAAAATATATAGATCAGAATCAACAACACATAAACAACTGTAACAACTGCATTAGCAGTTCAACAACTTTAATAGCACGACATCAGTAACTACATCAACAACTGCATCAACAACATCAACTACATCAACAACATCAACTACATCAGCAACAATAGCCCCAACACCAGCAAGAACATTAACAGAGTCGCGGATAGACACATCAATCGAATTGTAAATCAGTGAACTAATTGAAGCCATCCATCCAACTTTGCAGACCTGCCTCTCACAGTATTTTATTATGGACCGTCTCAAAAATCAAAACCCATTACGACTCCCACGTGGCAAGCAGCTCCATTCGGCTAACTCTCATTACCATTCTAATTTCTTCTTTGAAAAACTTAAATTTTTGAAAAAGTAAAAACCGTTTGTTTATTATTTTATTTTTTCTTTCGTATACTGTAGTTTATTTTCTGTTTGGTAATTTTTTTCGATAGATTTGTTTATGATAAAATTTTGTTGTTGTTTTGTTAAAAGAAAGTTTCTTATAAGCAGAGTTCATCGTAAAATAAAAAACTTCT